ATACCGCTACTCCGCTTGTTTGAGGCGCGAACGCCGCATATTACACTGCACATATCAATCCCGACCTGGTGATAGCGAACAATTTTATCTGGAAACGCAACGTGGCTGCTGACGTGGATTCGGCCCCATTCGTTTCAAAAACGAATCACATAGGCGAGCATAGACACGATCAGCAGGGGCGAGCTTTTGACGCTACTCCGCTCGTTCGATAGTCGATACCCGGTGATTACACTGTACCTGTCAGCCCCGACCTCGTGATAGCGGACCTTTACTTCTGGAAACGCAACCCGGCTGCTGACGTGCATTCGGCCCCATTCGTAGCAAATACGAATCATATACACGAGCATAGGCACGAGCGGCAGGGACGAGCTTTTGACGCTACTCCGCTCGTTCGATACTCGAAGACCGGTGATTAAACTGTACCTGTCAGGCCCGACCTGGTGGTAGCGGGCCCTTTCGTCTGGAAACGCAACCCGGCTGATGACGTGGATTCGGCCCCATTCGTAGCAAATACGAATCATATACACGAGCGTAGGCACGAGCGGCAGGGGCGAGCTTTTGACGCTACTCGGTTTTTTTGAGGCGTGAAGGCCGCATATTACACTGCACGTATCAACCTCGACCTGGAGATAGCGGACCTTTTCGGCTCGAAACGCAACGTGGCTGCTGACGTGCATTCCGCCCCCATTCGTAGCAAAAACGAATCCGATAAGCAAGCATAGGCAAGCATAGGCACGAGCGGCAAGGGTGGAGCTTATGCCGCTACTCCGCTTGTTGAAGCGCGAACGCCGCATATTACCTGCACATATCAATCCCCGACCCTGGTGATAGCGAACAATTTTTATCTGGAAACGCAACGTGGCTGCTGACGTGGATTCGGCCCCATTCGTTTCAAAAACGAATCACATAGGCGAGCATAGACACGATCAGCAGGGGCGAGCTTTTGACGCTACTCCGCTCGTTCGATAGTCGATACCCGGTGATTACACTGTACCTGTCAGCCCCGACCTCGTGATAGCGGACCTTTACTTCTGGAAACGCAACCCGGCTGCTGATGTGCATTCGGCCCCATTCGTAGCAAATACGAATCATATACACGAGCATAGGCACGAGCGGCAGGGGCGAGCTTTTGACGCTACTCCGCTCGTTCGATACTCGAAGACCGGTGATTAAAATGTACCTGTCAGGCCCGACCTGGTGGTAGCGGGCCCTTTCGTCTGGTAACGCAACCCGGCTGATGACGTGGATTCGGCCCCATTCGTAGCAAATACGAATCATATACACGAGCGTAGGCACGAGCGGCAGGGGCGAGCTTTTGACGCTACTCGGTTTTTTTGAGGCGTGAAGGCCGCATATTACACTGCACGTATCAACCCCGACCTGGAGATAGCGGACCTTTTCGGCTCGAAACGCAACGTGGCTGCTGACGTGCATTCGCCCCCATTCGTAGCAAAAACGAATCCGATAAGCAAGCATAGGCAAGCATAGGCACGAGCGGCAAGGGTGAGCTTATGCCGCTACTCCGCTTGTTTGAGGCGCGAACGCCGCATATTACACTGCACATATCAATCCCGACCTGGTGATAGCGAACATTTTTAATCTGGAAACGCAACGTGGCTGCTGACGTGGATTCGGCCCCATTCGTTTCAAAAACGAATTACATAGGCGAGCATAGACACGATCAGCAGGGGCGAGCCTTTGACGCTACTCCGCTCGTTCGATACTGAAGGCCGGTGATTACACTGTACCTGTCAGCCCCGACCTCGTGATAGCGGACCTATTCTTCTGGAAACGCAACCCGGCTCTGACGTGCATTCGGCCCCATTCGTACCAAATACGAATCATATACACAAGCATACCCACGAGCGGCAGGGGTGAGCTTTTGACGCTACTCCGCTTATTTGAGGCGTGAAGGCCCCATATGACACTGCACCTATCAACCCCGACCTGGAAATAGCGGGCCTTTTCGGCTCGAAACGCAACGTGGCTGCTGACGCCCATTCGCCCCCATTCGTAGCAATACGGAATCGGATTGGCAAGCATAGGCACGACCGGCAAGGGTGAGCTTATGCCGCTACTCCGCTTGTTTGAGGCGCGAACGCCGCATATTACACTGCACATATCAATCCCGTCCTAGTGATAGCGACCATTTTTCACTGGAAACGCAACGTGGCTGCTGACGTGGATTCGGCCCCATTCGTTGCAAAAACGAATCACATAGGCGAGCATAGACACGATCAGCAGGGGCGAGCTTTTGACGCTACTCCGCTCGTTCGATAGTCGATACCCGGTGATTACACTGTACCTGTCAGCCCCGACCTCGTGATAGCGGACCTTTTCTTCTGGAAACGCAACCCGGCTGCTGACGTGCATTCGGCCCCATTCGTAGCAAATACGAATCATATACACGAGCATAGGCACGAGCGGCAGAGGAGAGGTTTTGACGCTACTCCGCTCGTTCGATACTCGAAGACCGGTGATTACACTGTACCTGTCAGGCCCGACCTGGTGGTAGCGGGCCCTTTCGTCTGGAAACGCAACCCGGCTGCTGACGTGGATTCGGCCCCATTCGTAGCAAATACGAATCATATACACGAGCATAGGCACGAGCGGCAGGGGCGAGCTTTTGACGCTACTCCGATTTTTGGAGGCGTGAAGGCCCCATATTACACTGCACGTATCAACCCCGACCTGGAGATAGCGGACCTTTTCGGCTCGAAACGCAACGTGGCTGCTGACGTGCATTCGCCCCCATTCGTAGCAAAAACGAATCCGATAAGCAAGCATAGTCAAGCATAGGCACGAGCGGCAAGGGTGAGCTTATACCGCTACTCCGCTTGTTTGAGGCGCGAACGCCGCATATTACGCTGCACATATCAATCCCGACCTAGTGATAGCGAACATTTTTTATCTGGAAACGCAACGTGGCTGCTGACGTGCATTCGGCCCCATTCGTAGCAAATACGAATCATATACACGAGCATAGGCACGAGCGGCAGGGGCGAGCTTTTGACGCTACTCTGCTTTTTTGACGCGCGAACGCCGCATATTACACTGCACGTATCAACCCCGACCTGGAGATAGCGGACCTTTTCGGCTCGAAACGCAACGTGGCTGCTGACGTGCATTCGCCCCCATTCGTAGCAAAAGCGAATCTGATAGGCAGGCATAGGCACGAGCGGAAAGGGTGAGCTTATACCGCTACTCCGCTTGTTTGAGGCGCGAACGCCGCATATTACACTGCACATATCAATCCCGACCTGGTGATAGCGAACAATTTTATCTGGAAACGCAACGTGGCTGCTGACGTGGATTCGGCCCCATTCGTTTCAAAAACGAATCACATAGGCGAGCATAGACACGATCAGCAGGGGCGAGCTTTTGACGCTACTCCGCTCGTTCGATAGTCGATACCCGGTGATTACACTGTACCTGTCAGCCCCGACCTCGTGATAGCGGACCTTTACTTCTGGAAACGCAACCCGGCTGCTGACGTGCATTCGGCCCCATTCGTAGCAAATACGAATCATATACACGAGCATAGGCACGAGCGGCAGGGACGAGCTTTTGACGCTACTCCGCTCGTTCGATACTCGAAGACCGGTGATTAAACTGTACCTGTCAGGCCCGACCTGGTGGTAGCGGGCCCTTTCGTCTGGAAACGCAACCCGGCTGATGACGTGGATTCGGCCCCATTCGTAGCAAATACGAATCATATACACGAGCGTAGGCACGAGCGGCAGGGGCGAGCTTTTGACGCTACTCGGTTTTTTTGAGGCGTGAAGGCCGCATATTACACTGCACGTATCAACCCCGACCTGGAGATAGCGGACCTTTTCGGCTCGAAACGCAACGTGGCTGCTGACGTGCATTCGCCCCCATTCGTAGCAAAAACGAATCCGATAAGCAAGCATAGGCAAGCATAGGCACGAGCGGCAAGGGTGAGCTTATGCCGCTACTCCGCTTGTTTGAGGCGCGAACGCCGCATATTACACTGCACATATCAATCCCGACCTGGTGATAGCGAACATTTTTTATCTGGAAACGCAACGTGGCTGCTGACGTGGATTCGGCTCCATTCGTTTCAAAACGATTACATAGGCGAGCATAGACACGATCAGCAGGGGCGAGCTTTTGACGCTACTCCGCTCGTTCGATAGTCGATACCCGGTGATTACACTGTACCTGTCAGCCCCGACCTCGTGATAGCGGACCTTTACTTCTGGAAACGCAACCCGGCTGCTGACGTGCATTCGGCCCCATTCGTAGCAAATACGAATCATATACACGAGCATAGGCACGAGCGGCAGGGGCGAGCTTTTGACGCTACTCCGCTCGTTCGATACTCGAAGACCGGTGATTAAACTGTACCTGTCAGGCCCGACCTGGTGGTAGCGGGCCCTTTCGTCTGGAAACGCAACCCGGCTGATGACGTGGATTCGGCCCCATTCGTAGCAAATACGAATCATATACACGAGCGTAGGCACGAGCGGCAGGGGCGAGCTTTTGACGCTACTCTGCTTTTTTGAGGCGTGAAGGCCGCATATTACACTGCACGTATCAACCCCGACCTGGAGATAGCGGACCTTTTCGGCTCGAAACGCAACGTGGCTGCTGACGTGCATTCGCCCCCATTCGTAGCAAAAACGAATCCGATAAGCAAGCATAGGCAAGCATAGGCACGAGCGGCAAGGGTGAGCTTATGGCGCTACTCAGCTTGTTTGAGGCGCGAATGCCGCGGATTTACGCTGCCCCTATCAGTCCCCGACCTGGAGATAGCGGACCTGTATTACTCGGAACGCCACAGGGGCGTCTGCGCGCATTCGGGCCCATTCGTTTCAAAAAGGGTCTCTTAGGCAGAGCTTAGCAGGATAGGCGAGGGGGAAGTTTTTGG